TGTGCTTTTGTCCTTTCCTTGTTGGATTAAATAAAAGACGGTGGCGACTCTTGCTTACCGCGACATTTTGCAAAAACAAACGCAAACGCTAACCAGCATTCCAAAACAATCAGTCCTCATTCCCACCGATCACAAAAACCTTATTGGTTGTATCTTAATTCTCCGACCTTGGTGGTCGTTTGCTTTAGTTTGTGCATGATTGTGTTTCTATTATATTTGAAGTGTTTTGCATGTTCATGGTATGCTTGTCTGCTTGAGACACTTTTTATTTGTTAAGAGAGTTTGGGAGGTTTTTCTCGTTAGTTAGTTAGTTTTCCGGTGTAGGGAGAACGGATAAACTTCCAGGATGATTACCAAGCATGAGCTGAAACTCAAGTCTCATTTCGAGGACCCGAGCTCAACAGCGTGAACTTCCCACTGCCAGCTAGGCATTCTTCCGGCGTGGTACAACGATGATGGAGCTCGATCGAGTTATCCATGTTGGGATGAGGGTCGGCAGTGGAGTCTCGCCCCTTCAAATAATTTTTAAGTGTCATGCTTGTACCTAGGCATGCTCGTATGGTCGGGCCTGGATGAGTCTGTCTCGTCGACGAAGATCGCCGACTGCTCAGTGTTTTAACTGTAATATTGTTTTAACTTTTCAGCGTTCCATGGTCGAGCAAGTTGTTCCCCTTGTAGATTTTCTAGGTAGTACGCCTCGGTCCCTGTTTTTGCATAGACACGGTAGGGACCTTCCCAGTTTGCTGTGAGCTCGCCTTCACGAGATTCTTAGTGATTTCTCTTCAATACAAGGTTGTCGACCTCGAATTCTCGTCGTATGACTTTGGTGCCGTAGAACATGGCTATTTTTTGTTTGAGAGAGGCCTCTCGTAGGGCCGCTCATGTTCGGATTTCTTCAACCAGATCTAGTTCTTCCCGTAGGGTGACATCATTCATCTACTCGTCTGGGGGAGCTTTGGTTCGCCTAGAGGGTTCCTCGGTTCTTGAATTTTCGAAAACTAGACAAAATTTCCTTTATTTTGCATACCAATTTCATGTAAAGAAGTATGTAATGAGGTTGTAAATTACGTTTGAAGTTAGAGGTCTAATGTTAATTTGTGCCAAAACATGCATATCAGTTTGGTAATTTTGAGCTACACAAAAGCTTAGGAATGAAGATTGAGCTATTATCATCTCCATCACAAAATGGGAAATCAGAATCTCCTCTTAATCAAGGTGATTCCTTAGATATGACTTGAGGTTTTTTTGGGACTTCATGTTTGGGATTAAGGGTTTGTGAGAAATTGCGTGGAACTTGTCAGTGAATGTTCATTGTCCTTGTATATGTTATTTTCGTTGTGTTTTGGCTCCCAAAGTATGATTAAGTTGATGTTTTATGTTGTTGATTCATACGAGGTTGGTACATGTTAGAAATGGGTTAATATTGAAGAAAATGTGATAAAATAAGGTGAATTTGGGATTTGGACTCAATGGTAACTAGTTACTAGTAGTTGGTAACTGGTTACTTGTATGAAAAATGGGTTTTGGGGCTTTTTTCGAGCCTGTAACCGGTTACCACTGTTTGTGTGAGAAAATTAAGAATTAAAATCAATGTAACTTGAGTTTTGTAATTCGAAATCAAACGTGATCAGATGCTTTAGAAATATCTTCTAATGCTCTATTAAAGAGTGAAGGAATAGTGTGGTTTTATGCTAATTATTTAGGGGTAAATAGTGATATATCATCATGTGTGATATGATATGATTACTTGTGTTATTACACTTTTATATATGTGCATAAAATAATGCATTATGATGATGAATGACATGATATGGTATTTATATGTGTGCTTATTGAAATGCATTGTGACTGTCTAATGGTATAACATGACAAGATCATTTACTTATACTTCTTTTTACATGTGTGCTTATTGTAATGAATCGTGGATGACTGAAGATATGATGTGATCACCTGTTTATGCCTAATTATATATGTTCCTAGTGTGACGCACTATTGCTTATGGTGGATATGTTGTGATCACTTGTTTTTTTACCAGTTCATTTTGGTTGAATGTTCGGATGTGATTTGGTTGTGTATGCTTGAGCCGAAGTAGACCTAGACCTGAGGTGGTAAATCACTTGGGATATCAGACTTGGTTCAGATGTACACACTTTAGTTATCGATCGATGGATTATATGGCCTGAAAGGGAGGACACTCACATGGATACTCACCCAGATGATCAGTATGGTGGGGTCGTGATGCCATGTAGGTAATGATTCTTCGTTACTCGCCTCTACCGGGCTTGTGTAGCCACATAGGCGTAATTCACTTGGTTTGGCACTTTGTTCTGAGGTGTACTCGCTAGTGTTTTCGCTCGATGGACTTGTGCAGTCATGTAGGTGTCTTTGCACTTGATATTAACATGCGTGTGTATTGATGATTGATGAGTTCATGACGCCAAGTAGGAAATGTCACTTTGTTACTCATTACAGATGGGGTTGTGTAGCAACTTAGGCGTAAACTACTCTGTTATGGACTTTACTCCGATGTGCACTCATCTGACTCATTGTGTTGTGTGCTTGTGTAGGTCTCTTGAAGCTAGGCATTTACTTACTCGCCAAGGGTTTGTTTGTGTAGCCTAGGTCGGAAGGCATGATCTACTTTTGGATTTCCCATACATGGGTATGATTTTGCATACTTTGTTGTATTGTTACATTATGTGCTTGTTGATTCTCAATTGGGTGGTCAAGGGACTCCCAATTGTGATGATGTGTGATGATTGTGTATTCTTGTACCTGACACTGAGGAAACCCTAGATCAATGGTGGATTTGTATTTGATACTTGTACCCTGTAGAGACAAGATGATCCATATAATATGAGGACTCACATAGATTTAGTAATAACACCCAAATCTTATTATTAATTTTTCAAGCGTCTTATAAAAGTGAAGAATTACTAGAATGTTTGGATTAAAGAGTTGATCAGCAGATGGCATGAAGACCTTATCAAATTTTATCTTTCCGATGTGCATTTCTAGTAGACATATGTCTTAATACACTCTTAGTTTTAGATTCTTGTGATGTATACGATTTTTAGTATGTTATTTCCCGCTTTTGTATGTTTCTATGTACCATATTATAACGCCACTACATATTATTCTAGACGGATATGTATGAGGTGTTACATACTTGTTATCATCAAAACTTAAAAGATTAGTTAACGAATCAAACTTGTTCCAACACAACTTCCCACAAACTATACTAACATCACATAAAGGCCAAGAGATCTAAATCTTAGAATATTCAATTCTAGACTTCATCTTGGACCCATCTCCCAAATTATATCAAGGGATTTCGTCTCTCCACTAATTCCTTTATAATGGTCTAGTCATCAATATACCATGCATAAAGAAGAAGCCTACAATCATCTATGATCTTATGAATAATTGGGTGTAACACAAGAGAAAAAAAGGAGTAGCATGAACTGGATAGAACCTCGATGCTCAATCATACATAAACTAAACCCACAAAGAAATAGATGAGCATCTCACCTTACCTCATGCAATAGGGATAATTAATATATCATGCTGAAATCTTTGGAGAAATATATTGTGAGCATTTCTAGAGAACCATCTCTATGTCGCTTGTTCAACAGCCTGTTGACACTATGCTAAACGGCCTCAACACCACTGTTACCCCCCACCCCAACTAGAAGTTATATAGATATTGTGCAACGTCTTTACTGGCCTATTTACATGGAAACCTTGGATACCACGTGCCTCCAAATAGAACCCATAAAAATTGGGTGTTTCTCACAATCAAACTTTGATAATAGTGCCAAGGGTGCAGAGGCAATAACTCTACAAAAGAATCATCAGACATATTCTTCAATATCATGAGTTAACAACTAGAGAGATTGCACATAAAAGATCTCTTATCACAGCAAGAAGTTTCTCCATATAGTACATCTAATATATGGTATGCTTGCATAGCATCTCTACCATATGATGTCTCCTTGTAAAATAGTTTAATGTACCTGAATATAGTATCAACTTCATTCACAAGAGGAGCTTTAGAGAACAAGGTGGTTGGCATGGATGGAGGTGGTTTATACGAGTTTTTATCCTCCAAAACATTCATTGTTTGTCCATTATAGGGGGGACACTCAAAATGACACCAATACTTTCACAACTGTTGTGAAGTGACCATCTACAATCTTTCGGAGGCACTGTCTTACATCAAAGCTCGTCTATTTATCTTTCTCCTCAATATGATCACCCTCATGACCCGTATTATTTAGCTCAGAACTGCCCAACAATCTATCAAATAATTTGGTAAGACCATCGATGTTTCTCCAAGTGTCTAAGCACTTTAAAATGTATTTTTGTTGCAAGGACTTTTGATTCCTAGACTTGTCATCCCACTTATTTTAGCTTGACTACCTAATAAGTGCAACGAAAGAAGAAGTAACAATCAAACTCAACCACCTAAAGATTCCGACTCACCAACCACCTTATAAAAAATGTCTTTCAATAACAATCAAACCCAACCATCTTAAAGATCCCGACTCAACAACCACCTTATAAAAAACATTTTTCAATATCTAAGAAAAACAAGACGACACGAGACATCTCAATTGTATTTTCTTATTTATTCATTTTTGGTATCTTTAATCCCGTCTAAGTGGTTGCTATGATGAAATGAATAGTTGATGTTTCTAGTTTTAAGAGTTTGGCAGATTATTGTGTCAATTACATAGAAACTAATTCTTTATGGTCAAACAACGCGATAGAACCAAATACAATGGCATGGTTCAAGTAGCACTATGCGTTGAAAATAATTGTGTTTGCACTATATGATTGTCAAATTTCCTATTTAAAGCCTTAACCTTTAGATTAATTGAAAGACTAACTTATACTATATGGGAATCAAATCATACACAGAAACAAATTAAAAGACAACGACAACTTTATGGAAATCATACATAGAAACCAATTAAAAGACAATGACAACATATATGTTAGAATTTACAAGCTTCAAGTCCTTGCTCAATGGTTGAACAAAAGTTTTCAAATTCTCCACTTTTAAATACTAACCCAACCTCAAGTCCACCTTCTCTATCTCCACTTTCAGCAATAGACATACATTTAAAAGAATGCATCATCTCAACTTTAACTGGTTTTCCAAATCCAAAATCAATCTCATAAACATTAAACTTAGGTGATCCTGTTACCAACAACACACTTCCAAACTCATACATTTTCTTAAACGTCTCCCTCCATTCGGCCGCGTCTTTAAAAGGTTCGATTTTCATCTCCCTTACCGCGCTTTCAATTACCTTAACCGCATTCACAAAACCATATTCTCCTTTCATATCCTTTCTCTTCGCGGTTGCATGACATAGCGTTAAACAGTTTCCAAAATAACCTTCTGGTATTGTGTATCCAATTCTATCTCTACAATCACCTGCAAAACGAAAATACTCTTCCTTTTCATCATCTTTATCATTTCTATATCTTGTTTTAACCAAACTAGCCCATACAAATCCACAAGTTACAACAAATTTAGATAAAAATTGCGGCGGTTTAGTCTCATGATCAATTTTCTTCCATTGGTTGAGTACCCTTCTTTTCATTCTCTCGATTTCTTCTTTTCCAAAAACAATAGTTGCTTTAACATAGTCTTGAGCTTGACTAGTAGATTTATTTTTCCATGTTTTTCTTTCTTCAAAATAGTCTCCTAAGAAAACATTCTCAAGCCCTTTTGGGTCCCTCAAAATATTTCTATCAAAACAAGGTGTTGGCTTCAAGTTTACATCACAATTTCCATGGATAGAAGACCAAGTTTTCATGAAATGATTACAACAATGATCATCCATAACGTGACAATATGTGATTGCGATGCAAAGACCGTGGTTAGGGAAAACCGAGACTTGTAAAGTCAACAAAGGGAATATGAAGGTGTTATTTTCAATATGATCATTATCATCTAGGGTTGTTTTTTGGGTTAATTTCGGAACAAGGTGATTAAAGTCTTTGATATTTTTGGGGTGGTTATTGGACGAAAGATGGTTGAAATTTGCGGAAGATTCAATGATGGTAAAGACAACAGAGTCTTTTTGCGTGCAGATGATATATGGTTTATTTGGTGGTGGTGGAGATATGAGATTTCCCGCGAGAGGGAAAAAATATTGAAGAGTAAGAGAAAGAGAGTGTTTGAGAGACGGAAGTTTTGTTTTGTAAAAATAATCGGGTGAATAAGGAAAATGATAGAAAAATTGACGTTTAACATAAATTGGACCTGCTAAAGGTAAATCAAGGAATGTGAGAGGAAGAGAAATTGTTGATGTTAATGATGGAACAATTAGAGTTTGCTCAATAAACTTATGCTCAAACTTTGAAGGATATGCCATTTGGGAAAATTGAATGATGATGTTGATTGGTAAGTCATTTGGGAGAAGTAATGTGTGTATAAATATACATTCATTTGGTACCAATTTAATCAAATAAAATAATGTATAATTGAAATGGGGAAGTAACGAAAAGGAAGATGCTACAACTTAAAATAGGCACATATATTTCTGTCAAACGAATCATTGATTTGTAAATATTTGTTAAATATAAAATTTCCTTTGCTTATAGATTTGTGGAGTACAAGTTCTTGGCAAGGGGTGGGATTAAACTTGGAAATTTCGTAAAGACGAGTGAATTAGTCAAGTCGTGGCGTTACTGTACTCTTTTTTTTTATTGATGGAAAAAGTCATGGAGTTTTGCCTATTAGCTTTCTGATCTGATTGATTTATTATTTTAGGCAAGGGTGGCAGTTACATAGAAGGGAGTATTGTGATTGGGGTTGCTTTCGTTCCGGTCAGTCTGGATATAAGCTCTTTGAAAAAATAGACCGAAATTGTAATCGAATAATTTAAGATCGGATTGAAGCAGTGATGAATAATTTTCTAGGATCAAAATCGGACTAAATAGCATTTTGATCGGTCCATTAATTCAATTTTACTGGACCAATTTTTGAGTAATCCAGACAACTGGTTCACAATGAAAAATTTATTAAATATTCGATATAACAATATATATTAAGCACGATTGAATATTTATTAGATACATAGCCCGATTCTTGTTTCGAATATCGAATAAAAAAATCATTTATTTCCAAATCAAATAGCATTTTGGTCGGTTCATTAATCCAGTACTATTGGACCGATTCCTAAGTGGTTCTCAGGTAACTCGATCCAAATATTGTGATGGTGCTTTAACTAATTTAAATAAGTTTTTATTTTATTTTGAAATTTTAATAAGTTGTACTCCTTCGTGTTTCTCTCTGTTGACTTTGCAAATCTTTAGCCTCGTTTACTTCTCAAAGTTGTAGGACCCGAGGTGCTCACCTCAGCTTAACAAGAACCTACAAATTGGTAATTTACTCATTGCAAAGTGAACCAAACCATTAAAATCAAAACTACTAAAGTTACAATTGCATACGCACGCACAAACTCTTTATCTTGAAGGCGTGATGATAGGGAAAGAAGTACCACCCCTCAATACTCTCGACTAGTAAGGAAGAACAAGGTACAACGAGACGTGAAAAATTACGGCCCAAACATCAAGAATGCAACGTGAAAAAAACAATTATACAAAATGTTTGTCTCCAAGTTCACGACCAGTGGAATAATCAAAAAGAGCTCAAATTATATTTTATATTCGAGAAAAAAAAAGCATAATTAACTAATTATTTCATTTATGGAACATTTTAATGACAATACTGTTAAATTGCAATTCAATGTGTCGAAACTATGTGTCGAAAAGATTTGATTTGTTTTAGATTTAAATAGATTTGATTTAAATCTAAAATAAATTAGATTTGATTTAGTAACAAAAAGATATTTTGGGCTTTGGGTGTAAGCTCAGTTATAAATAGAGGGAGTAACCCCTATTTTTGTAAGCAAGTCAAACAAGTTGTATTCACAGAATTTGCAATTGCAAGTGAATAACAAAGTTTTCACAGTTTGTGAGCAGAGAGAAACTCTACAGAAATTATTTGTCTTGTCTTGTCTTCTTTTCTTTGTTTTTCTCATAATTAAATTGTCATTGTGGTAGAAATTCATCATAGACTTTGGTGGATTTCCAACATCTGATATCAAGAGCTTTGTTTCGATTCAAGGGAAGTGTCAATCAAGAACGATTGAAGAATTCACGATGATAAGTTATGTGGGAATGCAAATTATCCAGCAACCCTACCAATTCTGAAAGTTGACAACTATGAGAATTTGTGCAAACAGATGAAAGTCTTATTCAGGTGTCAAGGTCTTTGGGACCTTGTAAAAGATGGAGTCGAAGCGCTTGGAGAAAACGCTTCAGAAGAAGAAAAGAAGAAATACATAGAATCTGAGAAGCTGAGTTATAAAGCATTATTTATAATTCATCAATATGTCAGCCCAGACAATTTCGAAAAGGTTAGTGATTCAGAATCTGCAAAAGAAGCTTGGGAAATCCTTGAGAAGTTTTTTGGAGGCGCTGAGAAAGTGAAAGAAGTGAGGTTACAAACTTACAAAAGGACCTATGAACTGCTTCAGATGGAAGACAGTGAAAGCATATTTGATTTCTTCACTAAAGTTACAAAACTAGTAAATCAAATCAAGATATGTGGAGAAGCGTTAACAACAAGAGTTGTTGTGTCGAAGATCTTGAGATCTTTAGCTCCTAAGTTCGACCACATAGTGGTGGCGATAGAAGAGGGGAAAGTCTTGTCGAAATTGACAAAGAAAGAGCTTCAAGGGACGCTTGAATCTCATGAACAAAGAATGAACGAAAGAGCTACAGAAAAATCGAAGAGTGATGTGGCCTTGCAGGCACATTCAGCAAAAGAAACCAAAGGCAAAGGAAAGTGTTTCGACAGAGGTAGAGGTGGCTACAACAAATCGAATGGTAGAGGAAACCAGATTGAAGGAAACGTGTCGAATCAAAGAAGACCATACCAAGGCAACCAAAGAGGTGGTGTTGCAAATAGAGGAAGAGGTGGTGGTCGAAAACCTGATAAGAGTCACATTCAATGTTACAATTGTCAAAAGTATGGTCACTATTCGAATGATTGTCCAGAAAAACGAAAGAATCAAGAAAGTGATGCAAAGCTTACAAAATATGAAGAAGAAGAAGAGATGATGCTGATGGTCACAACAAGAGATGAAGATAGATTCAAGGACCAATGGTACTTGGATCCAGGATGTTCATCATATATGTCTGGAAGGAAAGACTGGTTCGTCAATATAAAACCCTCAATGAAAAATATGGTAAAATTTTCAAATGACAATACCCTAACAGCTGAAGGTATTGGTGATGTTATGATTATGAGGAAAGATGGCAAAAGGTCAGTAATCTCCAATGTGTTGTACATACCAGGCATGAAGAGCAATTTTCTCAGTATAGGGCAGTTAGTCGAAAAGAATTATAAAGTGTCAATCGAAGATAAGATGATGAGAGTCGTTGATGAAAATGGGAGATTAATCTTGAAGGCTCCTATGTCTCAGAATCGAACCTTCAAGATTGAACTAAATGTGATGGAGCACAAGTGCCTTTCGACTGCAGCTAGCAGAGATGAATGGATATGGCATTATAGACTAGGCCATCTCAACTTCAGAGACATCAGAGATTTGAAGAGAAGAAATATGGCTTCAGAATTGCCATAAATTGACATTCCAAACGAGGTATGTGAGGAATGTGTGCAGGCGGAGCAACACAAGAATAGCTTCAGCAAGGATGCAGGAAGCAGATCGAAGGCTAGTCTTGAAGTCATATACTTTGATGTATGTGGACCAATCCAGGTGGATTCGATGGGAGGTAACAAATACTTTGTTACATTCATAGATGATTTCAGTAGAAAGCTGTGGACTTACATGATCAAGAAGAAAAGTGAAGTGATCGAAGTATTTATCAAGTTTAAGTCTATGGTCGAAAGACAAAGTGGTCGAAAGCTCAAAGTTTTGAGAACTGATGGTGGTGGAGAATATGTGTCGAAAGACTTCGATAGATTATGTGAAAAGGAAGGGATTGTGCATGAGGTGGTGCCACCCTATACTCCACAACAAAATGGAATTGCAGAAAGGAAAAATTGAACCATCATGAATATGGTGAGAAGTATGTTGAAAGGCAAGAATTTACCTAAAGAGTTTTGGGGTGAAGCTGTTTCGACTGCAACATACATTTTGAACAAATGTCCTACAAAGAAGCTAGAAGGAATTACTCCAAAAGAATGTTGGTCTGGTGTGAAGCCTATCTTGAGTCATCTGAAGGTATTTAGATCTATTGCACATAGACATGTGCCATATCAGTTGAAAAGAAAACTTGATGATAAGTCAAGTCAAATGATTCTAGTTGGATATCATTCGACAGGAGGCTACAAGTTGTTTGATCCAGTGAAAAGGCAGATTGTGATCAGCAGGGACGTGATCATAGATGAGTTTAAAGAATGGGATTGGACTGAAAATATCAAGAAAGATTCAGTGGGAATCCTTCTTGAAGAGCCAGAAACTCAAGTCGAAAGAGAAGTTCGACAAGAGGAACCAACAGATATACCAAGTACAAGCAGACCTCAAAGAACAAGACGCGTTCCTGCAAGATTACAAGATTGTGTGATTACATCAGATGATGTGATAGATGATGAAGGTGAGCTGGTACATTATGCTTTCTATGCAGATGTCGAACCCGTTAATGCAGCTGGAGCATTGAAGGATTCGAAGTGGGTGAAAGCAATGAACGAAGAAGTAAAGTCTATCGAAGACAACAACACTTGGTCACTTGTCGAATTGCCTCAAGGCAAGAAGGCAATTGATGTCAAGTGGGTATACAAAGTGAAAACGAATTCGAAAGGTGAAGTAACTCGACACAAAGTAAGACTTGTAGCGAAAGGATTTCTACAGAAAGAAGGAATAGACTTCGATGAAGTTTTTGCACCTGTTGCTAGGATCGAAACAATCAGGTTGGTTGTTGGTCTAGCAGAAATAAACAATTGGCACATATGTCAGATGGACGTGAAGTGTGCATTCCTAAATGGACCCTTAGATGAAGAAGTCTATGTTAAACAACCAGTTGGGTTTGTGAAACATGACGAAGAAAGAAAGGTGTACAGGCTACATAAAGCCCCGTATGGATTGAAACAAGCTCCAAGGGCTTGGAATAAGAAAATTGATAGTTTTCTAAGGGAGAAGGAATTTGTAAAGTGCACACTGAACATGGAGTATATGTAAGAAGAAGCAAGAGTAAATTGCTTATACTATGTCTCTATGTAGATGATTTGTTGATAACAAGTAGTTGTAAAAGTGAGATCGAAGACTTCAAAGGTGATCTCAGCAAGGAATTCGAAATGTCTGATTTGGGTGAGATTTCATATTTCCTTGGTATCGAATTCTAC